ACTGGGGGCTCTGAAATAGGAGCCAATTATCCCCTAAAAGAGGAGAAAACCTCCCAAAATGTGCTGCCAGCCAGGCTGCCCATGGCTGGAGGGTTTTGGGCTTGGGGACTCTGAGATAGGAGCCAATTATCCCCCAAAAGAGGAAAAAACCTCCAAAATGTGCTGCTAGCAAGGCTGCGTGTGGCTGGAGGGATTTGGGACTGGGGGCTCTGAATTAGAAGCCAATTGTCCCCCAAAAGAGGAGAAAAGCCCCCAAAATGTGCTGCCAGCCAGGCTGCCTGTGGCTGGAGGGATTTGGGACTGGGGACTCTGAGATAGGAGCCAATTGTTCCCTAAAAGAGGAGAAAATCCCCCAAAATGTGCTGCCCGCAAGGCTGCTCGTGGCTGGGGGGGTTTTGGGACTGCACCCCTAGTTCTGAATTAGGAGCCAATTATCCCTCAAAAGAGGACAAAACCTCCCAAAATGTGCTGCCAGCAAGGCTGCCTGTGCCTGGAAGGTTTGAGACTGGGGGCTGCACCCCCAGTTCTGAAGTAGGAGCCAATTGTCCCCCAAAAGAACAGAAAACCTCCCAAAATGTGCTGCCAGCCTGGTTTTCTGTGGCTGAATGGTTTTGGGGCTGCACCCCTGGCGTGGCCAAGGGAAGCGTTAGCGGCGTTTTGGGGGGCCTGGCTGGGTGAGGGAGGGCAGGGGGTGCCCGTGCTGGGGCCAGGCAGCTCTACCTGAGAAGAAATGGGCTTTGAAGCCCTTTTTGGAGACGGTGTTGTCGGACTTGAACTCGATCCTCATGTTGTTGTACTGGGAGGTGATGACCTCGGGCTTCTCGGCGCCGCAGAACTTCCCGTGCAGCTTGGAGTCGGCTGTGAGCCCGCTGCGCACCTCCACAAAGTCATATTTGCACACCTGCGGGTGACACGGGGCTGGGGACGCCGTGGTGCCACCCTGGGGGCCACCAGCACCCCCTGAGAGCACCCCCAGGTCTGAATTAGGAGCCAATTGTTCCCCAAAAAGAAGAGAAAATCTCCCAAAATGTGCTGCCAGCAAGGCTTGCCCATAGCTGGAGGGTTTTGGGACTGGGGGCTCTGAAATAAGAGC